GTAAAATAGGTGATGGGTAACACGATTATTGGTTGATATTTCGAAATGTAAATAAAAACGGATAATAAACATTATTTTATCGTTAAAACATTATGATGATAAAACTGGTATAGGAAATTTTTGATCAAGAATGTATTTTATTTATCGGGAAAACACAATTACTAGGCATATATGTATACGTATACCTATATTTATATGAAACCACCCTTTCTTCTCTCTCACTCTATCCTTTTGAAAATTGAAAAAGATTTATTTGTAAAATAAGAACAATAAGTGTTCTCGTAAATAAGTAGAACCTTCGGTCCTTCGTCGATAAACTAGGGGGGTGGTCCATCCGATAAAATACATACACTCATCCACGAGCAATTGAATCGCATCGAAAATATAATCCCCGTTATTCTTTTTCCGTGCAACGAAGCATGTCGACTAACACCACCGTTCTTCTCTTTCGTTTCGTACGGGAATCGACACATATAGCAAGTAACAGCAGCAGCAGCAGCAGCCAACCAAGCGAGTCGATGTTCTCCTCCATCCTTTCGTTTTTGCTGGACGGACGATTTTCTTCGGGTCTCGTGCTGTAAAATAGGAGCTAAAGGAGAAAGGAAAAAAACAAAAATCATAGAAAAAAGAAATGTTGTTTAGTACTTTCCCATTGGCAAGAGAACGGTTTTGTGTGTATATGTGTGTACGGTAGCGGATGAGAAACAACGAGAAATGAGAGAGATGGGGAATACGTTGGCTCGCGTTTATTAGTGTCCAATTGTGACGAGAGAAAGAGAGAGAGAGAGAGAGAGAGAGGTGGTACCCTGGGTGAAACACGAAAGCAAGCGCGTGAACTCGCTCATTTGCGTGGCTGTTAATTTGCCACGTTTGTGTGCGCAATGCCGCCAAGGCCGCAGCGGGATGCCAACGGACAGAGGGAAAATTAGTGTCTCGCGTGTGGGTGGCGCTTTGCGTTCTCCCTTTCCCTCTCCTTGTGTCTCTGTTGCTCCAAACTATATGTGTGTCCTCTTTTTCTCTCTCACTTGTATATTCTAACGGATAAAAATCGGCACGTCGTAAAATATCCTTCTCAACCGACGTCGAAAATCAACAAAGTCATCCGTCTTTCCTACGTAATATACAACACAACGCATACAATACATGCACATGTACTTATATTATATTTATTATTATTAGTGTGTGTGTGTAGTATGTATGCACGAGTAGATGTATACGATCCGACACACGTTCATGAATTTCTTATGAGAATACCATTAAGCTCTGATAAAAAGAGAGGATGATACGCGTTGTCGCTGAGTTTGCTTTTAGTTCAAATAAAAAATATTAAAAAAATATAAAAAGCATTACCTCTACTCCACCAACCACTTCTCTCATTTACTTCTTTTTACAGTGTCTTTATTTTAATGACTAACTCGTAACCTATCCTCTCTCTGGTAATCCACCGTTCTCTGTGCATAATTTTAACACGAAAACGCTCGATTGAGTTGTCAAATGTCGTAACGTATACTTTAAAAACTTTGAATTTCAGAACTAACACCACAAACGTAACGCCCACGACGTAATTACGTATCATTTCAAACTAACTTCTTGGTTTCTTATCGATTATGATTCTTATTTAACCATATTTTTCGTAAATCTGTATAAGCATAAATAAATTTAGCAAAGGCTCGATACGACACCTTGTCAACACAGATATTTGTCAAACTTTATACAGTTTTAAGGTTTTGAAATAAAACACACGAGAGAGAGAGAGAGAGAGAGACGAAGTTAAAAAGTTCTCAGTTTATATCACGCAACGATTAGGTTGAAAAGTTTTAAACCTTAGCACGAGAAAATGACTAAAAAGTTTTAAAGACTTCACATACGACGAAGTGTTAAAATATACTAATAACTACTGAAAAAAAAAAAAAACCAGTAGTTATAAAAGAATATTTATGAAGCTTATTTCACAACGTTTTCTTGGAAACGATTAAATATTTAGGTCTTATTGCATGACACACACGGTATATGTTCTCCTAATGGATCGAACTGTGTAGAAAGTAAAAAAATAACAGTGTTAACAATGTCATATGGAACCCTTCCGATACATCAAAATTTATAATTTAATCTCGTAATAAAAAACCTACTTTACTTCGTATCGACACGAAACTCTTCCCTTTCATCCAATACAATAAATCTTTCTCTTTCCCACTTGAATTATTCGTAATAACCGATCCGTATTTAGCTCATGTGATATTCAAGATTCATCCGCGAAATGCCGTGGGGCTTGCGCTCGTCCCAACCAAGTTCTAACCCCCTATTAAACCTACGTAAAACTGCCCCTACCACTACCACCATCAGTGGTCCATCCACCGCGTACGTACCCCCCTTACTCACCCGACAACGTCCCCAAACGTCATTTCTCCTCCCGCGTCGCATATCATTACCATGCAAATACGACTCAGCGTGCGGCAAATCCCGCGTAAAATCATCCTTTCTATCCCCCCCCCCCGTTGAAATCCCAGCAACCATCGCACCACTCTACCCCAACCCTTTCCCTTCCTTCTATTGCTCAACCCTCGTCGCAATACTCTTCTCTATCCCAATGGTGGCGGCCACATATGCAAAATGTGCCGCTATCATAATAACGTTACGTCGATGAACCTTCCATTGAATAGGGCTGAACCGTGTGCATGCATGGCATCGCTAATTACCTACTCGATGGTAGCTTTCGCACGACCACCAAGCGATCTCTGCCGTGTTCTTCTTTATCACTCTTCTTCCTTCTTCCTCTACACAACCAGTTGCAAATTCAAATTGCTATCTCTCATTCTCATTCTCTCTCTCTCTCTCTCTCTCTCTCTCTCTACTCGATCGTATAATTTTAACCGATATTAGCAAATATATTGGGTTGTTCAGAAAGTTCGTGCCGATTTTCGGTAAGTGGCATAAAGTTTTTTTGTTAAAAAACCTGAGAACTTCTGGAGGGACGAAATTTTGAAGTTATTTATAAAGATGGAGAAAGATTGTGAAACAGAATGGCACTTATATATACAAAAAAAAAAATACTTAAATGCGTTGTGTTTCGATCTTCCGTCAAAATCGGCACGAACTTTTCGGACAACCCAATATATATTAGGGGGACCGAAAAGTAATCAAAATTTGTCTTTGCTGGCAAAAAACATTTGTTTATTAACACGTTGAGCGTCACGTCAGCCATCGGTGGCTGACACTAGACTTTCCGTTTAGGCCGTGTCCGTCACGAGTGACTGACATGTTCAACTATTGTTTCAATACAAAGTAACACCTGTGACCTAACGGGAATTTTTCTAAAAAAATTCACGTGACACTCAACGTGTTAAAAAAATTTTAAATACTAATCAACAACAAATTATATCATCATTTTCTAACACTTTTTGCCTTACGAAAAGGAAATCGTTCAATTCTTTTTTTAAAAAGTTCTTCGATTTTTCATCGACACAAACTAAATGTGTATGAACTAATCAACGAAATTTTGATTATTTTTCCATCCCCTAAATATTGAAATCTTTTTAATGATAATTTTTTGTTTTTTTTTTTGTTTGAATTTTATTCTAACAGTAATTTAAACCGTATAAATAAAATATAATCACAGAGAAAAGCGTGAAAAAAATAATCCCATGCACATTTGAATCAATTGAAAAAGATAGATAATGTTTTATATTACCTACCAGAAAATATTATTCCATCGTGATCGTCCTCTGTTGAATAAATATTATAAGTAAAAAGGAAATATTATAATGTTTGAAATAAAGTTGAATTTAATGCGTCGCTTTATACTCTTTTATTACTCGAATCTTAACCGTTTATGTATAATAATCTCTAAATCTCGATGAATATTTACAAAGATTTTTATCTTTTTTCTTTTTTTTTTTTTTTCGTGTTTGCCACCAAGCTCTCTGTCGGTAGACGTAGAAAAATATGACGGTATATGCTCGTGATGCTCTTTCTCCCTAAGTATGCATATATACACATATA